CTGGTTGGCTTAGTTGGCCGGATGGTTGGTGGGATCGGGTTGATGCCAACAGCATGAGGTTCAATCTTTATTTTGGATGAGTTGGATTTGGGACCTGCTTCCTTCCTATGTGAGATGAGGATGGACCCATGCCTGGATATGGAACTCAGGAGGAACAAAATCAAGTTCAGAGCCACTTAGTGATCGCCATGAGAAAACACTTTTCATTTTAGTTAAAAGTTGGACATAAAGCCCAGAGGTGTAATATTCTTAAGGTGTGTAACTGCATTTTCTCCTCCTGACTGTTCCTCCCCATTGCTGGCCTTGTAGGAATCGATGTGATTGATCGACATTCAACAAACGGAGTTCAGATTCTTCTTGCAAATTCTTGCTTCTGACTAAAAGTACTTTAATATGTTGCAGATAATGGTGCAACTCTTATACCAGGCCTTACAGAAGGGAGGAATTACGTGGGGCTTAGTAGCACAAGTTCTTAAGGTAACAGAGTGAACTCAACTCCTTCCCGGCATTAATTTATTTTGTCCTACTGTTTTCTTGGAATCTTTCACTGGGGATTCCTAACCCAAGTTGTAATATGTAATTTAAGTTGACAAATAGGACCTATGGTGCCTGCCCCTAGTGTGTCCATTCAGCTCCCCATAGTCCCAGGCTCAGTAACTGCTCTGACCAAAACCAGCTCAGATGGGAAGTGGTGTGACTCTCTGGTTAAAATCTCAATTGATGCATTTACAGAATCAGGAAGGTCTTAAGTAGAACTCTTCCCCTTTGTCATGCTTGCTGAATTCACTGTGGGCCTTAGTGTCTTCATCAAAGGAGGTGTTTTATCCCTCACAAGATCACGAGGAAGGAAGACTTTTCGTCCTTCTGTGAGTCACTCATCCAGAATATAACCCTGAAGTCCTCCTGATGCAGTGCCCCAAAGGCTGTTACCTACCAGGATTTTCTCTCTTTACTCCTCCTAAAGGGGTGGGGGTTGATGAAAGCAGTCTGCTTTAAGGTTGGTTCATTGCTAACATGAATAAGGGCCTGCAACTTAAATATATATTTTGTTACATGGGATCAGCGGCCCAAATCTCACCATCTAATTCGATTTTTCATCAAATTATTGGGCTGAATCTCATGTTTCCTTTATTTGATTTATTTATTGTCACATGTTTTTTGTTACAAAGTGTTGTATGATATCTCCACTCTCTGGTGCCATCTTAAAACGCAGAAAAATAAGCCAAAACGTAGAATATAAAGGCAGGAGAATAAAGAAATAAAGAAAATTGTTCAACTTGCAGTCCTTCTTGTTAAGTGCTCCATTATGGGCCATGGGCCTGGTGGCCAGACATGAGACCCCTTTGCCACACCACTGCCACTGGAACAAAAGATGCCATGCTTTGGTGCCATCTCGCCTTCACCGACGCCCTTGCCACCATGATTCCTCACTGGACCTCGCCATT